AGCTGCAGCAGCAACAACAGCAACAGCAACAACTATGCAAATGCTTTGGCTTACACGCCTGCATTTTGATTAGGTTAACTATTTATAGAACGCGCTACGATGCGCCTTGCCTGGCATTCCTGCCGGCAACACATGCACAACACAACACAACACAACAGCAATCAGCAGCAACAACAGCAACAGCAACCTGCTCAATGACTCATGCGTCGTATAGCAACATAATTATATTGATATGCCTAATTAGCGACTGCGAAAGGAATGCCGAAATATCGCCAGCTCTTTCATACGTGGACTGGGCAAACAGGTGGCTGCATTTCGCACTGTGTCGCTGAAGGTCAGCAGCTTTTCAAGCGGCTGCAACGGCGGCAACAACAAATGCAACGCCAATATCTAGTTCCAACTGCCGGCAACAACAAAAGCAGCAGCAGCAGCAGCAGTGATTTCTTTATATGTCTGCTGCAATTAGAATTCATTTTGGTAGCCGAAAACAGCTAAGCAAAAGAGAAGCCAAAAAAAGCTATTTTTGTTTGTACTCAGAATTCGCCGACAACACAGCAACAGCAACATGTTGCTGCTGCAGCAGCATTTGTCGTTGTGGGCGCTCAACGAAAATGAAAACTGAACTGAAATTGTTGGGCAAATGTTTTTGTTTTGTTTTTGGTTTATTTGGTTTATGTTTCGCTTCATATTCGAACTGGTCTGCAAGGCTGCGGCTGCGGCTGCGGCTGCGGCTGCGGCTTCGACTGCGGCTACTTAGGCGGCGCATGCTTATGAGCAACTTGGCAACCTTTAAAAGAATGCGGACTTGCCAGAAGTACACACACACACACACACACATACTCTTAGGTAGATGTAGGCGCATAGGCGCATACCTAAAGAAGAGAAAAGGAGGCAGAAAAAAAAAAATAACTCAAAAGTTTGTGGCAACAAAAGGCAAACTCGGCTGGATGCCTTTTAATGTGGCTGCGGCTGTTGTTGTTGTTGTTGTTGCTGTGTTGCATGATACGCTCGTTGGTGGAACGAAAAGTTTATGGCTTATATGGATTACAAAATAAAAAGGAAAATAGTTCATAAACCGTTACAGAGCACGGTCATAAAAACAAACAATATTAAGAACTGTGAAACTTGAAATGCATCATAATAGCCCAAACATATGTTAGATCTCAAATAGCTGAAATTGCATGATGTAGGGCATTATATAGTTTACAGACTAGCTAATCTAATACAAATTAAAAGTTATTCGAGTTCATAAAGTAAATAGCAATATGATTGGAAATATCCGCCTGCCACAAATTCATGCAAGGTAGAATCAATTTTTAAGCATAAGCATCTATTAAATCTATTTTTCGCTTATGATTTATTTGATTTTCTTTTTTGTATTCATTTAGATTCTCTTTAAAGAATTTCACAAGGCGTTAGATAAATAATTCTTTTACAGTCTCTTTCAGTCTCTCTCTCTCTCTCTCTCCCTTTCTCTATCTCTCTCATTCTCTACTGTTATTTGTGGACTTTCCAGTCGTTAACTTTAATGACTACCCATGGAACAAATCCAATGCAGCAATTGTTGTCTGTCTGATATTTGTGTGTACGGGTGTGTGTGTGTGTGTGTGTGTGAGTGTGGAGCAGAGTGCTTAGTGGCATGGGTATCGGGGCACAACTTATACTACATGCCACAGCTGCAGCGGCAGCCACGGCTTGTTTACAGGAATTTTACAACTATGCAGCCGGCTCTGATTTGTTGCCAGGAGCAAAAGCCACGAGACGCGATTTGAGAGAGATATGTACAGAAAGAAGCAGTTAGTAAATTTAATAAATATATATATAGAAGTATATATATATAAATAAATAAAAGCTCACTGGCATAAAGTGGATAGGCTAAGAAATACCCTAGTTGGAGAAATAATCGAAGTCTGCATGCATAAGTATTTGTCGCTGGAAAGCAAGAGTTCTTCAGTGTGGAATGTTCGACTAGCTGCTACCATAATATCGGGCAAACGGATAGCCTTAGCGTTTATTCTCTAATTACCCATTTTTAGTGAAGCATAGGGTATTAAGAAATATGCTCTTTTTGTTGTAATAGCGAGCAGGCAAATTAAAAAATATATATGTACATATATAAGTGTAAAAAATGAAAGACTGCAGCATAAAAAGCGAGCGGAACGAGGAGAGGAGACGTCTGACTCTATAGTAACGGCCATCATTATAAGTCCTATGCGACTCAGATGCGGCTTAAAGAAATAGTTTAGCCGTCGCAGAATCAGAGTGACGTTTTTGTTGTTGTTGTTGTTGCTCCAGTCACTTACCCAGGCCGTCGTGCGGTACGGTAATGAGCCGAGAGTTCTTGGAACTGCGCCAACGCCGCGTCCTTGAAACAGGTTTCGCCCATAAACAAGACGGGCAACGAGCAACGGACACCGGACGGTGGCTACGACTCTGACTGTGTCTTCGAAAGTGGTTCTAAGCAGGTCGCATCTGAAAATAATATAAAAATTTTTACTATTACTCTATTAATTAAAAGTTGACGAAAATATATGGCACTGATTCGCAGAGGCCATTTAAATTCACATTAGCTGCACATATTGTCTGGAGTCTGCAGTGAGATAGAGACACGTCTGCCCGGGCAACGCTTAAAAGCGTCCATAAAAATCAAGCAGGCTCGACCAGGCACAGAGCGGCTGATAAAATTAGCAAAATTATTGCCACACAGTAGCTCAGGCACAGGCCCAGGCCAGCGCAGACGGCAGACGGTAGGCGGGTCAAAGCGCCATGGGACGTCATTCGATTTGACTAAGTGGTTTTGCACAGTGGGCAAGGCAATATAATAACCACTGTGAAATTTTATTTAGTTTTAGTCCAAATCTGAATATTTAACTGACAAGCAAGGAGTGGAACTGTCAAAAAAGAGTCCGAATAACAAATTAGACATCGATAACTAGCGACTGTTGATACCTATCGCCAATCTTATCGGTGTTTTACTCATTTTGGCACTGTGCAAAAAAAGCATGTATTTAAAGATAAGAATTTGTTGTTTTGCGAAAAATGATTGTGTTCAAATATTCATGTTCTTAGTTCATTACATTTTTGAGCGCCTAAAGTAAGATATCGTCCATAGTGCAACATAATCGTATCTAAGTAAATGCATTCATAGATGCACACGCAAGTGCCACATCAATTAGGTACGCACCAAACGTGCCTCGCCCACTTTGACTTACCCATCTGCCTGAGCTGACTCGACTTGTAAGCGAGTGGCTCGCTTGATTGGTCGTTTGGTTAGCATTAAGTCTCAAATTAGCATTCACGACTTTCAAGTACGTTTGCCCACATTCAAAAGTAAAAGGCAGTTGTGTAAATTATCGATAAATAAACAATAGCCTCAAATAACATACAATGTTAACCTGCGTGTTGACATCTGTTAATGCTCATGTTACTTACTGTTAACTCCAGTTAACTCGAATATGCCTGGTTCATTGCCCGTCCACCCACATGTCGCAATGGCAGCAGCCGTTAGACGACCTTCATTCAAATGCCTTTCCTTGGCCCGCGAGTGCCGAGCAGCTGAAGTGAAGTGCAAATATTTGTTGCACGCCAACAAAAACATAAATGTTATGAAAGCGTTTGAAACACGAAACATATCAACAAATAAAAACAATGTATGCTGACATGTGTTTATTAATAATATGGTCTGATAACCGCCGACTATTGAACTGGTGAATTCACCTTTTATCATTTTTCACTGTTCCTGGATTACTCACAATAAGTGATAAGAGCGTCTCGTGCAATCTGCAGCACAGCTGCAATCAGTAAAAAATATATTTACATATGTACATATGTACGTATAGCAAACAGTTTGCTATAATGTTACTTTTGTAGCGTTTTTATTGGTTTTTCTTTTAATAGATTTTTGACGGCTGACATAATGTACATATGTATGTATAGTATCCGAGTATTCGGGTATATTAAACTCCGACAAAGGCAATACTTTTGTAGGGTTTTTATTGGTTTTTCTTTTAATAGATTTTTGACGGCTGACATAACGTACATATGTATGTATAGTATCCGAGTATTCGGCTATATTAAACTCCGACAAAGGCAATTTTTGGTTAGTACAACTTGACAAATCATAAGTGACAGGTATATTAAAGCTCAAAGATAAATTGTAATTCACATTTGCTCTACTGTGTGTGTGTTTGTGTGCTCCAATCAAGTGTATGTAAAAAATATTTTTGATAATAAATTTAAGATAACATGACATACTCCAAGAATCTATAAATCTATAATCTTATCTACATACATATATTAAACGGTGTCACTGAACTCGACCAAATTATCGTTTATTTTGCAAATTAAACCGGAACTGTACTTATACTTACACTTATGTATACCTATGCAGAAGGACGAAGAAACTGAAAGATCGGCAGATGGACAGAACCCCATCGACTCTATTTTTGATTTACTTTAAACTTATGTACAATATGAAATCGACCATGCTTCTTTCTGCCCCTTAATTACACTGAATTCCCATTCGTTATGGGTTCAAAGCATAATTCAATAAATATATACCGTGTCAAATTTAGCTCTTGTTTAGTTTGTTTGAAATCCCCCCCTTAATCATGCCAAGCTATCAATGATTACTCAATGGAGTGCCATCGACTAACATTGATAATCTTGCACTAGCTGTATTTCATTAAAACTGGCCCATTAAATACTTTTAACCCAAATGGAAAATAGTTAACAAAGCTAAAGAGCAGTCAACAACAACAACAACAACAACAGCTGAAGAGCATTAACACTTTAGACTTACCTACAAAATTCAGCGCAGAAAATTTCGATGGCTTGCAGATTTGTGAATTATGTTAATTATACGCTCCGCTGGGCGAAAAGTGAAAAACTGAAATGTAAAATGGAAATGGAAATGGTATTCGAAATTGGGTTTTTAGGCCTTAACTAATTTATCTGGACTCGATTGCCAACTAACTAATGCGGCACTCCTATAATTACAGCAAACTGTGACACCAGCAACATCGACAGCAGCAACAACAACAGAAGAGAGCAACAATTCGTAGTATGCGGCTCTTCAAAGCGCGCAAATCAACGGACACTTACAGCACATTAAGCGCCGCTCAACAGCACCAACAACAACAGCAGACGAGCAACACCAGCAGCAGCAGCAGCAAGCAGTATAAAAGCAGCAACAGCAACAGCAATCGGGCAACAATATGCAGCAGCAGATTCAGCAAGAGCATTGCCAGCAGCACAGCGATATCCTCATCGTTGCCTGATCTGCACGATAAGTCGCCCGTCATGATACTCAGTTGCACAACGCTGACAAGCAATGGCGCTGCTGCCACAGCGACAGTGACAGCAGCAGCGGCAACAACAGTTGCTGCCGCTTCAGCAACAGCAACTACAAATGGCAGCAATAATGTGCAGCCTCTACGCACGGCCACGCCCACATGTTTGTTAAGTGGACGCCAGACGCCATCCGGGCTATCAATGCTCTCCTTGCAGGAGTCGAATACACTGCACAGGCAACAGCAACAGCAGCAACAGCAACACCAGCAACCAACAATTTTTGTGCCCAATAAACTGAGCAACAATAGCAGCGCAGCCAACTTTCTGCTCAGCTACTCAAGCAGCAGCAACATTAACAGCATCCAGCAGCAACAGCAGCATCAACAACAGCAGCAGCATCAACAACAGCAGCAACACTATCAGCAATATGTGGCACAGCGTCTGCATCCTGCAGCGTCCAACGGCTGCCTATATGACAAGTCGAGCCTAAATGGTTCATCTGGCTGCAATTCGAATAGCAACAGCATCAACATCTCACTGACCGCCAATGGTAAGTAAAACAGAAACGAAGAGCTGCATTTTGATATGCCATGATATATTACAAGGGCCGTTTCACGGATAAAATCTGACAAACAGATACAATCTTAGTTAAGCCCCATAAAACCTCTTCAGAAGGCTTGGCAGTCCGCTGCAGTCGTTGAGTTGCCAATGGCAATCCACATCCACAGCCTTTGCATCAGCTTCAGCAACTTCATTATAATAGCCCGATCCTAGACGGCTGCAATAGTAGCTGGAATTTCTAGTGGGGTCACGCTGCATTAGGTAGACTCCGGACTCCAACTGCTGCAGCATATTAAAGTACCAAATGTCCTGGGCTTCGCATAGATTCTCCAGGCGCAACCATCCACGTGACGATGGCTCCGTCTCCAACGCCAGCTGCCACATGCAGCAGCGACTGTTGGCGCCCAGCTGCAGTGCCCCAGCTGGCATTAGGTACATCAGATCCCTGTCGTGCTCCAAGCAGAGCCAACGACTACGCACCAGGATCTGCAATGCTTGTGGCAAGCTCTGCAACATATTCTGCAATTGGCTGCTATTCCACTCCGGGTCCGTTTGCAGTCGGCGCAAGCTCAACGCAAAATCCAACAGCAACATGTTGTTGTTCTCCAAGCGATGGCTGCGTCGCAGCTGCCAATAGAGACTGAGCCATAGGCGACGGTTCAATGGGCTGTGAGTGCTGCTATTGTTGCTCAGCAGCTGCTGCAGTTCCTCTAACTCCAGTTGCGATTTCTCCAAGAAGTTGTAATTCCCGGCGAAACGTTGCTGCTGCTCCTCGCTGAGCTGCTCACACCGGCCATCGAATTGCCCATTCGAGACAATTAACGGCTGCTTCAGCATTTCGGCCAATTTATAGCCCAAACTGTCCTGACCTTGCGTCCAGAATATGGCCCAATAGAGCAGCCAAATTTGCCGACCCCATCGCCCAAACATCTTTGTGAAAACTGCGAGCCACTCTCGCTTTGGTTTATATTTATAATGTCGCTAATATTTCTTATCTTTTTAATATTCTTTTATTCATTGTTTCCGCTGATATACTTTCTTTCCTTATTCGATTGGAGCGCAAAAGCACTTGGATTATAAACCTATGTGATTCATACATATATAAAAGTGTATAAAATAACGATTTACTTTTTTCTTTCAAGGGCATATGCCCGACTACAAGCTGGTGACGGCCGTGCCAGTCGTTGTCCTGGATGATGAGCAGAAATTGGTATCGACAGCTGCGGACACAAATAGCGATGCTGGCAGCAGCATTAGCACGGGCAGCGCCACCTCCTTGGCCAGCACCACGCGAAATGGTGAGTAACGCCCCCCACTCGACCCCCACCCGAACCCAAGATTAGAAGCAAACAAGCGACCGAAATAGACAACAAGCCCCAAAGCCTTAAATGCGCTGAAATTGATTTTTAAATGCTGCCACCCTAGTGGAATGGCATCTTTATCTATATTTATGCTGGCTTTTATATGGACGTGTCCCATCTCTAATAAATAACAGACTCTCTTCCCCTCTCCCACTCACTGTCTTTACACTTTATTAGGGACTTGTTATAGATTATACGGCGACGGTAAGTGGCTGACTTTTTAGTGCTATTTAATTGGTGCTTCAACATAAATTCTATTGAAAAGTGCTGATATCTTCACAATCGTATATCAATATAAATCAATTATGTTTGAATTATACTCTAAGCGCTGCAATTTGTCAGCTACAGCAATCAAAGAAAAGAAAGCAAAGCAAAGCGCACAAACGCATACATATATACATACACACACATAGCTATGTAGACAATACAGCAATTCTTTGCAGCTTGCAGCTTGCAATACACACCCCACAGTCGCGTATGCTAATTGGGTCATCTCGCTCTAACTTACGCTAGTTGTTAGCATGCACATGTGCCTGTATGCGTAAGTATAAGAGCAGTGTACAGCCAATCAGACAATTCCTTTAAACGTAACATAACAAAGGCTTTGCGGAACTAGTTCAGTTATTTGCAGCCCATTCAATGGGCATTCAACATACAATATATAAAATCAATTTGACTCAGTTCGAGTTATTTGGTTCGTTGAATGAAAAGATTTCCGCATGTGTCAACGCATCATCAAGCACTCGCGATTGTCATCGATACTCGAAAGTGGGCATGGTGTGTGTTTATGTTAAAGGTATAAAGCACGCCCTGAAATACCGTATTGACCCGATTTTACTCTGCACAGTGGACAATTGGGCGAAAAAGCGTGGCACAAACATAACTCAGACGGAAAACTTTCAACCTAGTCTGTCGTATACTTTTTACACTCTGCAGCCGGGCCCGGGCTCCACTGTGCGTAATGTGATCCAAAGCGCACGGGCGCTGGCTCTGGGTCGGTCTGGGATGGTACTTTTATGGTCTGGACTGTGGTTTCGGTTAGGGGCCCTAAATCCCATAAGCGACCAAGTGTGACAAAGCGTGGCATTATGTGATCCATTTGACTGATGATTCGCAATGCAAGCCTTCGTATGTGACATGCACTGAAACGTTGCGGTTTGTTTGCTATGAAGAGTGGATGATATAACTGATTGGATTTGCAGCCAAATGGCAACAGACTGCGAAAGAAGTAGAGAAATAATAGGCACTTATGTTAGAGATTTTAAGGCATTAGTATGAAGGAGAAATACGCAAAAAATTCTGTAAATACTAGAACAGATATAGATATATGTATATAAAATATTTACGACTTCAGTTAGGCTTCTCTTCCCATTGAATGTGAGTAAAGCAAATGCGGTTCGTGAAAAGTGCAGCTGTTAGATTCAGGCTACTGAACAAAATTACACTGGCCAACAAGTTTAATAACCATGTCATGGGAAATATACGATCAGAAGCATTTGCATAATGTGGCTGAGTCGTCGGGCCGAATCGAAAGCCGACTCAGAGCCAGAACGAGCCGGGCTTGGGATGAAGACAAGAGCAAGAGTGAAGCGAGGAGGCAATAACAAATATTCAAAATGAGGCAAAAACGGCAACCAAAATGCACGCGGCATACAATAATATCTCACGTACGCGCTTCAATTCTTCGATCTAGATCGTCGCATAACGGAGAAGGCGCTGAATTTGAAAGGTGGAAGGGGCAAGGAGAAGGGGTAGGGGGCAAGCAGAGAGGGGAATGCGAAACGAATGCCTTGGACTGGAGCTGAGAGATCGATAATCGGGCAGCGAAATAAATCAAGTCGAGGTAGAAACATGTAATAAGCGATAATCCAGTATAAATGCGCATGCGTGCAATTCAGATGGAATAGTTTCGTTGGAGATGAAGATGAAGATGAAGATGGAATTCAGCGCAGATTCGAAATTATAGCATTTAAGTGTTTTTTTCTTTTTTTTCGCCGACTGTTGTCGACAGCTGGGCGAGAATCGATCTTGAGCTATGGCGCTTATTGATTTCTCATGCTGCCGTTGTTGTGGTTGCTTTGGAAATCTGAGATCGGGCCAATTATGGCCACAATTTAAGCCCTGCAGAAAGCCATTTACAGCTATTGATGTGGCGTCTCTGACCTTGGGGCGCCACTAATTAGAATCAATTAAGATTGGCATTAGAATGACGCACAACAGCTGGCAAAACGGAGGCTGCGGCGTAATGAACTTACAGCTAAATTGCCTCTGACACGCAATCCAAATGGCAAGTGGCATGGCAAATGGCCAACAACTTGAATGCATTGTGACAACGGCAGCTAGAGCTGAGCTGAGCTGAGCTTTGTTCGCAATTAAGTGTAGGAAAATGCCAGCACTAAGCGATAGGGGTTATCGAACTATTCGTTTGTGTCTATCGAGCCATTGTTATGTTTGCTATCGTTCCTGTCACATCCTTAAAATTGTTGACTTGAGCAGCAATAAAAATGCTGGTAAATTGTATTTTACAACCATTTAAAATATATTTAAATTGTGTGATATTTGTGTGCATATAAATAATATTGTAATATTGCGGAAGCCAAAAGAATATACATTCCTGATCAGGATCAGCCAAACGTTCCATGCAGGACCTCACCGCCCATTCGTCAGTTAGAGGAGCATCTCAGGGTATTTACAAGTCGTGCACCACAAACTAATCCACTCCAACGTGTCTTTCCTCCATTCCCATTCCCCATTTCCCCAGCTCAGTGTTAGCTGACTTGATGCCAGGCTAGAGAGTTGCAACAAAGCCGGCTTAGAGCTGGCGGGCACTTGACACCGTCTTAAAAGATAAGTGGGTGTAGAATTTGTGGCATGTGGCCGGCGGTCGTTTTTGATACAGCGATGAGTTGAGCTGAGTGTGTGCCGCGTGGCAGAGGCTGTCATATAATTGATGCCCGGACCATTTGCTATTATTGTTTAACACCCATCCTCCTCGATTCGCCAGCAACTCTGATTGGCAAACGGCTTCGCGTGTTGAAATTTTAATCAAATGCAAATGGACAGAGCCGTCGGCCGTCGAGCGTCGAGCGTCGAGCATCGGGCGTCGGCCGACAGAAGAGAACAGAATTGCGGAACAAAGTCGGTCAGGCCTGGGTGGAGCTGTTAGTGGCTGAGCTACAACTACACACAGATAGGCTTCAGTTGTTTCAACTGTCAACCCGAATCGAGGCTGTGTGCGCCCACACATTTGGCCCGCAGCTGGGCTGAGGCTATTAAACATCTTTGGCACGAGTCAGAGTCAGAGTAAGAGTCGGAGGAAAGGGAGGAGGAAGAGGCCGATGCAGATGCCATTGCCGATGCCAATGCCAATGTCGATGCAGAGTCCGAGCCATGAACGCTCCTTCGATGGGCACAAAGCGCATTTAATGTCATAGATGAAAATAGTTTTCAAAATTTTATTAAGTCCATAAGATGTTAGCGAAGCTCAACGAGGAACAAGAGATTTGCTGCAGCTGTTTCTTATGATCACCTTTTATACTAATTGTTGGTCTCTCTCCTCCTCTTTTTCATTCTCTCTCTCTGAGTGTTTCCTTCTCTCTCTAGCTTTTCTTTTCACTGGATTTGTTATAAAAAAAAAAAATATGGGACAAACGCGTAAATTTGCTTATAAACGAATATAGCTAGAAACTCTGCTAGAAACTCTGCCCATTAATGGTTTTTTAAGAGTTTGGCTATCGTTGTTAAACCAGATAGTTAAAAGTTACGACCATTTCACATATCCTAAAGGATTGCATTTAAAGCATGAAAAATCGAATGATTGAGTACTGTTATAGATGAGCAGTAGAAGATGACATTTATTAGCATTAATATAGCTCCAGATATAAGACCAAATATTTAATAAAGTCTTAGTTTGATTCATTCCTCTCCTATATACGCAAACAAGCTAGTTCATATACGACTTTTAAAGCTAAATTCCAAACTTGATGAAGCTATGTTGATTACCAAAAAAGAACCTTAACTTAATTATCGGTTGCTGTTGCCAAAAATGATTTTATAATACTTATGTGACCATAATATATTCTATGTATATATACATATGTATAAATAATCAAAAAAACACCTAAATTCAGTCTGGTCTCTTCCTGTGTATGTACAAGCATTTATATCAAAATAGACATTCGTTATCTTATAATTTATCTATATATGACACGCTTGCTCTAGCGAATAAACAAAAGTAACTTCTGTATGTATAAGAATTCACAATGTCTTATACACAATGATATACGCTTTGTCTATACAATTTGAACTCTAATACTAATTGCCTATTCATCGAATACACAAACCCTTATGACAAGCATGACCTATAGTCTTATACAAATATAAGAGGCAAACAGGCAGTTCGAACTTCACTATTTGAGGAACTTTATATAATTGCAAAACAATATAATAAATATCCAAGACATATGAGCAAGAAGACTTTAAATATTATTTTATTAGGCCGTATATTATGATAACGATTAATTTGTAAATTGCATTAATTGAATAATTTGTTGGTTAGCAGTTAAATAACAATTATGGACGAGCGTTTAACACAACCCCTCGCCATCCTCCTCATCGAGTTCTCTGGTACTGTTCGATTCATTGGCGCCACCAGATTTCTTCTCCACTTCGAGGCCCTTGGGCAATGGAATGTTCTTGGCTAGAATGGCATATTCCACGTCCATGTGTCGGATGAATGGCGATGCCAACATTTTAGCTGCCAGTTCGCCGTCCTCATCGTCGAAAGCTTGCAGCAGAGTCTGCAGCGTGGAGACCTCTTCAGCCTCACAGCAAGAGCCCCATTCCTTGAAGGACTTTTCGGCCTCCACGGAGTCACCCAATGCCAATTGCACTAAGACAAGCGCCACAACCAAACGGCCAATCTGACCATATGATTCGGTTTGCTGATAGAATCCGATTTCTTTTTTAAGCGCCTTTGTCGCCTCCTCGTATCGCTGCAGCTTCACCAAGATTCTTGACACTTTCGAAGAGTATTCGGATGCCTGACGTGTTGAGTCCTCAATCATAATGACCTCCACTGCATGCTGATAGAAACGCAAAGCCATCTCTGGATACTTTTGCTCTGTCAACTTGGCCGCTTTGTCCAATGCGGAGGCAGCAGCTTCTGGTGAACCATGTTGTTGATACAGGCTACACGCCTTGTTGGCATATTCCTCAACATCTGTCAGTTTGTCCAGATCTTTGCACAACAAAATTATCTGCTCGTATGACTTTGCAGCGTGGAACCAGGACTTGTTGTTTTTGTAGCACTCAATAGCCTTCAACAAACACTCCTTGCTTTTGTCAAACGATTTCGCAATGCGATACGCAGTTGCTGCCTTCGCGTACTCATCGGCAGCGCTGTCATAGTCAGGTACCCATTTCAGTAGCGATGTTTTTAAACTTTTTTCAGCTGCTTGCACTAATTGCTCAGCCTCAGCAATTTTTTTCGCAGCCACAGACATGTTTTTAGCTTGCGAAAAATCAATTGTTGTTTACGTATGCAGTGTGGCTGTAGGCGTAGTATCTACAAAAAGACAATAGATAAAAAATACTAAAACAAAATGTATTGCCCGAGCAATATATCGATATATTTGAGCGATAGTTGAGCTTTCAAAACGCGCGCATGTTACACATTTAAACGTGAAACGTGTAATTTGAATGTTTTCATTTCTATTTGAATATTTTCATTTTTATTTTAAATAAATAACATATAATATGCAGCAAAAAGAGAAAGCTTTAGGTTACCCATACAATTTGCATGTGCAGTCTATCATTGAAATTGCGGTTACTGCAAGCTGCAACAATCAACACGTTCCCCAAGCCGACCTTTGTTGTGGTTTGCTCGGCTGCTCACACATGTGTGTGTGTAAGCTGATGCCTTTCACAAGCACGTGACAGGCTATCAACCACAAAGGAAAATCAGGCTTAAGGAACAGACAAGATCCATGCTTTTTTGTTGTTTCTCTCCCCGCCTCTCTCTCGCTCCATCTCTCACTCTTTCTTAAGATGTATGCAGATTTGTGATTTGTGTGACTCTGGCGGCTGTCAGCGGCGGCAAATGCCCCAGAGGTGTTAAGATTTATTGAAGCATTGTAATTAATTTAGAAATCACTTTCTGATTGAGTTCTTCTCCTATGCCTTTTCCCTTTACAGTGTTCACCTGGGGCAAGCGCATGAGCCGCAAACTGGATTTGCTGAAGCGCAGTGAATCCCCCGCCGCCGCCCACAAATCGCACACAGATCTGCGCAGCTTGTTTCACTCGCCAACGCACAAGTCTAGCAATGCGAAGACATCAGCAACGCCTACTGGAGCTTATCAAAGCAGTACGCTTAAAAAGTGCAAGTCGGGACCAATTGAAACGATCAAGCAGCGTCATCAGCATCAACAGCAACAGCAGCAACAACAGCAACATCAGCAGCAACAGCAACAACAGCAGCAACATTTCCAGGATTCGAACAGCAAGGGCCAGAGCCAGAGCGCACAATCAACGCCGACGCATCAGTATCAACATGGACCAGTGACACGCCCACAGAAGGCATTGAAGAATTTCTTTCATCGCATTGGCTCCACAGGCATGCTGAATCATCGTTCGCATAATCTGCTGAAAGCTTCCGAGGCATCGCAGCAGTCAACACCAACTAGCCAAACGCTCTATCGCAGCAGCTCCACCAGCCAATTGTCCAGCTGCTCCTACATCAAATGCGATGATCCCACCGAAGGCTTAAATCTGCAAAGCCAACAGCAGCAGCGACAACACTTACTGCAGCAGCAGCAACAGCGCGCGCCACGCATTTCCAATCTCAAGTCGAGCAGTTGCGACGATATTGCCAAGGTGAGCAGCTGCCTTATCACCAGCAATAGCAGCAGTAGCAATGGCAGCGACAGTGTGGGCGTAGGCGGAGGTGGGCTGGCAACCAATGCAGCGAACAACAGCAGCAACAGCAGCAGTCAGCAGGATGCCAGCCGTCGGAATGCCTTTCCTTATGCATTTTTGCGCTCACGACTTTCGGTGCTGCCCGAAGAGAATGGCGGCTCTGTGCTGTTGAAGCATCAGCAACAACAACAGCAGCAGCAGCAGCAACAACAACAACAACAGCAACAACATCAACAATTTCAACGGGATGCGATTTCGGCTCATGGTGGATCGCCGTTGCCGCAGCGTCACTCGCCGGAGCAACAAATGGCGAACGTGTCGCGCAATGACAGCATCACGTCCAAGGACTGGGAACCACTTTACCAAAGATTAAGTAGTTGTCTAAGTTCAAATGAGTCGGGCTATGATAGCGATGGTGGCGGCGGTATCGCTGGTGCTCGTCTGTGCAATAATCTTAGCATCTCGGCCGGAGATACAGAATCTATTGCCTCGGGTACACTTAAGCGCAATTCGCTTATCTCGCTCAGCTCCTCGGAGGGCGTCGGCATGGGCATGGGCCTGGGCTCAGGGTCCTCTGTGCGCAACAGCATTTGCAGTGCACCCGTCTCCCTAGGCGGCTATAACTATGACTATGAAACGGAGACAATTCGACGCCGCTTCCGACAACTGAAGTTGGAGCGAAAATGCCAAGAGGATTACATTGGACTTGTCCTGTCGCCAAAAATGGTTGTCACCAACAACAATGAGCAGCAATATCGATATTTGATTGTTGAGCTGGAACCATACGGCATGGCGCAAAAGTAAGTATCGATTAAATAGCCGATAAAATATGAAGGAATCAATAATGAAGCAGAATCAGTGCTGCCTATTAGGCGGGCTAAAATATTACCCATACGCCTCATTTCCACTTTCTTTGTGTTTTTTAATAAATTGCACAAAAATTAATACTAGTTTAAATTCAGATATAATAGATTTGTGTGCTTGCCAGAGGCGTATTTAAAAACAAGCTAATTAATCCCATAAAAAGAATCCAAGTTTAACGTGCCCATCTCTATTCTTCCATAGGGACGGACGCCTGCGCCTTGGCGACGAGATTGTCAATGTGAATGGCAAGCATTTGCGTGGAATCCAATCGTTCGGCGAGGTGCAACGCCTGCTCAGCTGCTTTGTGGAGAACTGCATTGATCTGGTCATAGCACATGATGAGATAGCCACTGTAACTGATTTCTATACCAAAATACGCATTGATGGCATGAGTGCGCAACGTCAACGGCTCAGCTATGCCCAGCGGGCGGACAGCCTGAGCAGCCTGCAGAGCCTGCAGCTGAATGCGGAGCAGGAACGGGTTAGGGCACAGGAGGAAACCGAACTGGATGAAGATCAGTGCGATGCACGTTCGCTGGCCAGCGTCAGTACGCTACCCACGCCGATGCCATTGATGCAACATCGTCGCAGCTCAACGCCCCGACACTCGCTGGATGTGAGTGCGTCGGAGTACGAGCTATTGCGACGTAGAGCGCGCAGCTCCTCAGGTCAGCGTAGCTTGGCTCTAACACCAACACCGCTCTTTAACCAACAACCAACCAATGACACCTCCTCCATATCAACAACCAATCTTAACACCAATAACAACGACTCGTACACACCAGTGTATACGAATCGAGCAGCCAGCGTCTGTGTGGCCTCCTCGCTGGCGGATGATGAGAAATGGCGGCTGCTGGCACGCAAGCGCTGCTCCGAAGGTGCTGCACTGTCCACCGAACCAGGCGCAGGCGCTGCCTCGGGCTCGGGCTCAGGTTCCAGCCAACAGTTTGGTCAGCGTACGCACTATGCACGCAATTCCATTAATTTAACCAATTCACATTATCGCTCGCTGAGATTTGCGCACTCGCGTCTCAGCTCATCGCGTCTCAGCTTGTTCATGCAGACGCCATCAACAGCAGCAGGAGCTACAACCACTGACACTCCAACAACAACAACAACAACAACTGATCTCACTAATAATACACAACAACAACAACAACCACAACAATCCCAACAACAACAGCAACAACACCATTCATTATATATCAAGCACTCGCCAAAAAACGTTTCACTGTTTGCGCCTAATCCATTTATACCACCCTCATCCTCATCATCATCAACAGCAGCAGCAACAGCAGCTGTAAACAGCTCCTTGGCTCCACCAGCTGCTTCGCTAATGCATCATCGTCCATCGCTGCCAGTGGCAAAGCTAACGATACGCGATGAGGAAATGGCAGAAGTCATTCGCGCCTCAATGAGTGAGGGTGAGCTTAACACGAATAACACAATAAACAATTATCGAAACATTCCACTTACCAAGCAATTGTTCTAAATTATTTATGGCTCAGGCAACGGACGCTGCACCCAAAAGACAATTACGTTCTTCAAAGGACCCGGTCTAAAATCGTTGGGCTTCAGCATTGTGGGCGGACGAGACTCACCCAAAGGCAATATGGGAATATTCGTTAAAACTGTCTTTCCCTCCGGCCAAGCTGCCGACGATGGCACGCTGCAAGCGGGTGAGTGGCGGAAGAAGCATTTTTGTTGGTTCTCCGATGCTTAAACACTTTCCATTACAGGCGATGAGATTGTGGAAATCAATGGACTCTCTGTGCAGGGCATGAGTCATGCTGAGACAATTGGACTGTTCAAAAATGTGCGTGAGGGCACAATTGTGCTGAAGATCTTGAGAAGAAAGTAAGTACGAGGGGCCAGAGAGTGAGAGAAAAGAGAATTTGAATACAGATACTAACATCTCTTTCTTTGCAGACTACAAAAAGCAAAGTCCATGGGCACATAAAAGAATATATATACAAATATATATATACTTATACATTCATAAATCCAATCTTCATATCGACTGTACGTGTATCATTTGTTAATACCTGAGCAGCAGGATATCATTTGTTTGACCCATCCATGAATGTACATAGACCAATTCAATGTAATATTAGTTACCCTGCCTTCATATATGTACCTTTACCAACATACATAGATAATATGTGTATGTCATTAGATTTATATAAAGATAACTATACAAAATGATTTGTATGAAGCAACACACATTCAAACCTAATTTAATTGCAAGCTATACTTGAAGTAATTTAATGGAATTAATCATTTTAAATTATATGCATAATCTAAGCTAAGCATCCAAAATGTTGTACAATTTTTCGAAAATAAAAATGCCTACAATAAAATGCGTACCTATTATAAATTTGTGATACTTTTTTATTTAAATTATTTGCTTACCCAGCAAATCTAAGCACCACAAGGAATTCATATCAAGCTGGAGTAAATTAATTAATCTTCATTACTTTCACTTTTATTCGTCTCCGTCGTTGTGTCGCTTTTTACAAGCAGTCGTTGCTTTTTCACAAAATGGTCAATGCGATTCTCCAGGCTCTCTAAAAAAAGATTTGGTATATGTAGATCATCAGACATATTATTAAACAAACAAATACTAACCACATCGTTTGCGCTGCAGCAATGGTTGATACTGGCGCGGCTTGGCCGCATCCTGCAGCAGCATGGCCTGTGCTTGAATCTGCGGTGCCTTGAAATTCTGCTCAAGCAGTGCCTCCAGTTCCACTAAGACATTGCGTATCATGGTGCACTTGACACTGAACTGCGTCCACTCACTCTGCACGTTCTCTATCAACTTCTGTAGATTCTCTTCACTGTATACCCAATTGGTTAGATCACTTTGGCTTTCGCTTTCCACAATCGCAATCTGTGACAAATTTGCAATTTCGTCATCCGCAGCTGGAGGATTCGATTGACGCGTGCTGTGCGATCGAAATTCACAATGGAACAGGTTCAGTGGTAGCCCAATAGCAGGCGTATACTGGGGCTTACAAGGATTACTGCCCACATCGAGTAATTTAGTAATAATGGATGGCTGCTCGTGCTTTTGTCCAACCAGCAGCAGCACAGCCATGATGCAGCGTATTTGATGCCATAGGAAAGCATTTGCTTTTATCTCCAAATAATACATGATGTAGCCTGTTGAAGAAATTCAAGTTAGCTAAACTGTAAGATATAGATTATATATATTATTACCTGAGCCTTCCTCTAACTTAGTTTCTGTACTGTGGCATGGCTTTATCTCGGCATGCTGCAAGTTACGCATGTAATTCGTAACGCCATTGTGCACATCCATTTTACAAAAGTTCCTAAAGTCTCCGTGGCACACCAGTAGCTGACAGGCCTGCTGCATTGAGTCAATGTCCAAATCGCCCTTGGGAAAATAGTAGCGATAGGTACGTGAAATGCAATCAAATCGAGCGCTATACTCCGGATTTCGCAACGGCATCCAGGATACGCATTGTATATTTTTGGGCAGCACACGGTTTAACAGACTGCAATAATCTATTTCAGTACTTAGCGACTCTGGCTCCATTTGAGTATCGGGTGAGTGCTTGCTACGCAAATTAATTGATATCACTTGGCAGAAGGCGCTCACTTCCTTGTCGGTGCGACCGCATCGATGGTAATTGGAAGTAGCACGGGATTCGATGAGACAAGTGCGCTCCAAGGCACGAAATAAATGTCCTTCTGCAAGAAATACTTAAACAATTAGTAGTTGCTTTTATAGAAATCAGACAATCTTACCAATCGTATCAGCGGAGTCCTCCTGACAAGCAAATCCCTGATAATCCCAGCCAAAATACGTTATTTTCATTAAAACATGCCTCTGGTGCGCACTGAAATCATATCGATATAAATAAAAATAATTGAATAGAGAGAACTTACTAACCTGGTCCAATTAAACTTACGTTGTTTGTCTTTGTTTTTAGGTACATCTTTGACGGTTTCCGAAACATTTTTGTTTGGTACTTCATCCCCGTCCGCCCCGCGTAATACAACAGCATATTCAGAATTCTTTTTGTCCGCCTCGGACAGTTTCTTTTGTAAAAGATTTTTCAGCTGAAAGTTGTACGCTTCTAGCTGCACAATTTTGTCAATCAATTCTGTTTTGCTTAACTGAGTCAACTCTTCGCGAGTTTGGCCCTTCACACGTTTATTTATAACTATTTTCTTGTTCATTTCACATATAAACAAATGCAACACGTGCCGTTCACTAGACTTTTATGATTGTATCGAAATTCATATCGAAAATATTCGATTAATCGAAAAATAAAGAATTGTAATTTCCGATTAAACGACTTTTAGAGATGTTTATTGCTACTTAATCGATATTTTGAAGTAATACAATATCGAATGTGTTTAGCCTCACTAAAGCAATTCCAAGTATTTTTATGATTTTTACAAGAAACCTAGAATAACCACTTTTAATATGCTCGACGGATGGTACTGTCGATCATTGGCAAATCAAAAGACCACATCTGCTAAGACAGATCAAGAGCATCTTGAAAGTGATGAAGAAGCACATACAAAACAATCAACAATGCCTCGGACATCTACATCAACAGCTGCAGGAGCAGCAACTGCAGCATCTAGTTCAACATCGACTGGCACTGCAAATGAAAATATAGACTATAAAGAGCGCTATAAAAACTTAAAGCGAAAGCTGAAATTTCTCATCTACGTAAGTAATAAGAAGTGTGTGTAAACATATTTTAATTTCTGTATTTATTTATTGGCAGGAAAACGAATATTTTCAAGACTTGCTTCACACTAATCAAAGACGTTTATTAAAAGTGTCGCGCGACCGATCGTTTCTGATCGATCGCCTCTTGATATATGAGAAGCCTGCCAAAGATTCTAGTGACAGTGATGTCACTGATAGCTCCAATTCAGATACGGAGCAAACGACTTCAACGGTTGCCCAGACTCAACCGAACTCTGACCAATCGAAGGAGACTGCAGCTATGCGTCGCAAGCACAAGGAAAAGCCAGCTGTGAATGCGCTTGTTCCCACAGGTCATCCACCGACCGTTGGTGGGGCAACTCGAGGACGTAGACGTAAAATTATGACCGGCGGGCACGCTCAACAGCCACCAGCAAAGAAACTGCTGACCGCCACGGCAACTGTTTCGCCGTCAGTGCAACAGCATCAGCAGATAGCGACAAAGGACACCTCTGGCAATCTGAGTACAGCCGAAATAGCGCGACAGCTGCAAGAACGTCGACCGACTCCCATTGAATTTATGAGTCCCGAATGCGCCTCCGCCACTGTGCCGGTTACGATGCTCAGCGATGAAAGTCCATCAAAAATGTACGAAAAATTAATTATGAAATGAACTCGATTAAAATATTCTGGTTTTACTTGCAGCTATCCTAACGAAAGCTTGCAGCATCTCATGGAGGACGACTCGCCGTCTCACGTCGCTGCCGAGGAATGTGTGCCCATGGTATACACAAATTAATGTATTATTATTAAACAGGACACAAATTGCAAATGAATGAATTGAAATTTTACTCTTTTGACTTGCTAATAAATGTAATTAAAGCTATGTTTTCTCCGCGAATCATCACTTGCGGCAGCTCACGCCGCAGCTGTACGTTCTTACGATTTAAGCTTTTCGCGTGAACTTCAGGCAATGTGATTCCCAATCGTCGAAGTCGATCGACGCATTCCTCTGTTCCTTCTGCTGCTGCGCCACAAATGTCTTGCTTGCCAAACTTATATTTGCGACGCTGCCAGACCTCAACAGCGTTTTTTAGCAATATGTTCCACTGCTTGTCGAAGGCGACAAGGTCCCCCTCGATACGGCCACCAATGGAGTGCTCCTTGCGTAGGTAAACCCGCAGACGCGTTATGTCTTGTTTCTCCTCGCCGGGCAAATGCTTTTTAAGATATGCCAAGGGGCCTTCCGCACTGGCCATATGCGTGAACAGATTCCTGTGATATTTTACTTTCGCCACTCCCTCTACGGGCATTTGATGCGGCTGGAAACGTCGTTCACTTAACGCATCCACATTCGAGGATGAGTTAAAGGGATTTTTGTTACTTGTTGCCTTCGGTTGCTCATTGTTTTTGGGTCTCTTATTCAACTGCCAAACGCCAACCTTTACAAGAGCACTTTCAAATGCGGCAAGATTTTGATATAGGACTTTTGGCGCTCTATCCGTAACCTTGAAGTCGGCTGCATATAGCGCACGCAAGGGGTTGAATCGCTCACTGCCCACATCCAGCTCCTCCGCATTGTTACCATCCACATCATTTGTTGTATCGGACATGTTTACTATCTTACTGTAAGCAACAAAAATAAGAGTGATATTCCCTCTCTTATACTGCTATTGAAATTTGAATGCAATTATTCGATTATGATTTGAATGACCATCGCGAAAAAGTATTTTAATTGTTTGTTTGTACATATGTACACATATAAACATAATGGCTTGTATTCAGTGTTGCCAGTTTAGCTTATTTCAGGCTAGATTTTTTCTCTTTGAAAGAGGTCAAGCTACTGATAATAAATCCATTGAAAATGCGTAAGGGAAGCAATAAGAATAGTAGTCCCTAGGAGAACATTTATTATATTATATTAAAGCCATTTAATAATTATAAATAATAATATGGACATGAATTATTTATCACATCACATATGTACATGTATGTATTTATGTACATATATTCTTAAGAAGCGTAATGAGGTGATCCGATTTTACTATGCGTGTCTGCTTGTCTATATGTATGCCTATATGTATGCAGCAGGACTCATTTGGTATTTATATTAGAGTTAAACGGTGCTGGAATGCTTGCAGTAGCAGAGAGTAATCCCATTGGTCACTTTCAGCTCAACTGCAACGGCCCCTACCTGGCGTCGGGCTCAACATTTGAGCGCGTCGTAGTGATTGAGTGAAAGTCGACCTACATATATAAAGGTCATCAGCTGCAGCATTTCTTCAGTCGCCCAGACCTGGTGGGGGTCACTCGTGCAGTGCAAAAAAGTGAAGTGGAGTGAAGTGTGTGTGCGTTTAGCTATGCTAGAGACTCAAAAATAATACTTAGAGAAAATACTTAGAAGAAATTGTTAGACAGACAACAACAGCAAATCCATGTGTGTTCGTATATTAGAATAGCAGATCTGCATAGAGATCAGGGTATCTCCTTATCGGGCGCTCTCGCCTAGAGCACTAATGCATATTCATGATGACAATACCACGTACAAACACACAAGCTTAAAAAGCTCTATTATCTTTGCCTTCCATTGCTCCAGCTCTTCTTAGAGCTTTTGTAAACTTTCTCAGTCGAACGAGAAGCCAAATGTTTGGCCAGTGCGTCTCTTAACTAATAACTATACGGACATAAAATGAATCAAAGTATATCATGTAAGTTAGAATATTAAAAATATATATGCATTTATGTTTATATGTAATAAATCTACAGTCAACAGCTCTGGGCTTTCCAATAAAATGTTGATCGGCATGGGCGTCAGCCTGATTGCCGTAGGTGGGGCCGGCTACCTGGTTTATCGCCATTTGCATCGCGATGTGATGCCAACGAAATGGAGACGAGTTGGAAAACTGCAGCGGGTGAATGTGTTCCCAGTCAAATCGTGTGCTCCACTAGAGGTTGACCCCCAGCAGGAATACGATTGTGATGTGCTTGGCATTGGCATTGGAAATGTGCGAGATCGCAAATTCATGTTAATCAATGATAATAATGAAATGATAACCGCTAGAGGTTATCCGCACATGGTCAAAATTCAGCCAAAGGCGCTGCCCAACGGATTGGTGTTCAGCGCACCTGGAATGCCCGACTTGGAACTGGATTTCAAGCAACTGGAAACACTCTCTGAAGATGTACACACCTCCATTTTCAGCGTGGCCATCGACGTGATGCTGTGCGGCAGCCGCTTTGACAAATGGTTCTCAAAATTTATTCTTAAAAAGGATTCTGGCGTAAAGCTAGTTTACTATCCATATCCAGGACCAGTTCGCAAGACATGTCCAGAGCTGAAGCATATGCCTTATTTAACACAGCAAGATTCTGTAAGTAAGTTATACATACATATTCTGATCGAGTATTCCTCAAATTGTAATTTGAGCTTAAGTCATAAAAGCTATAATTTATGGAAAATATGTATGGAATTCTTATACTACACTCTCCACAAGGTGCTATTATAAAAGTCAAGCACATTATCATAAGCCAATACATATAACTATAGACAATATATGTATGTAAATTACAAATACATTTCAGGGCACATTCAATGATGCAACTAGCTATATGCTCATGAATTTAGCTTCAGTGGATGATTTAAA